CAGTTAAGAGTCAATCACTTTGCTGTGGGTCTGGTGTCACATGTAGGCCAGATCAGACAAGTGTGGCAGATTTCCTTCCCTAAAGGACATTAGTGAACCTTATGGGTTTTAACAACAATCAATAGGAGTAACATTGTCACCTTTAGGCCAACCTTTTATTGCAATTTTTATTGAATTCAAATTTCACCAACCGCCATGATGGGATTTGAAACCATGTCCCCAGAGCGTTAGCCTGGAATTCTGGATTCCTAACCCAGTGACATCACCATTATACCAGCACCTCCCCATTTAACATGGAGATGCACTGATTCATCAGCTCAGGGAGGGTGGCATATGGTGAGCAGCAGAAAGTTTCCTTCTCCACATTGAAGCATCGGAATTCATGAGGATGAAGAATCAATGTTGAGCCCTTTGTGAACTAGTCTCATTCCTGACTGGCTCTGTGACACATTGACATTGCTCTGTGGCCTATGAAAACTGTCAATTGGCGTTCAATGGCTTATTATATGGTAGCTGTGGTTCAGTTAGTTAGCAGTGCAGTGCTGAAGATTTACTGCACTGTTGGAGGTTCCATCTTTCAAAAGAAAAGTTGAAACAAAGTCCCAGCTGCCTTCTCGGGTGGATGTAAACTGTGGTACTGTGTCAAAGAAGAGTAGGGAGTTCTCTGTAGTGTCCTAAACTCTGAAACTGACAGCACTAAAACAGATTTTCTGGTCATTACCTAATTGCTGTTTGTGGGATCGTGCTGCGTGCAAACTGACTGTTTCAGTTCCTATTTTATGACAGAGACTCCCATTCAGGAAATTTTTCATTGGCTGGGACACTCAATGGAATGTTCAAAGGTTGTGAAAGTTGCTGAAGGAATGTTTTGACAGTCGGAGGGATTTGAGTGTCCTTGCAGCCGGAGAATTATCACATTGGTAAAGCAAGCACGTAGAAAAGCAAGTATGTTAGCCTTTATTGCAATGGTATTGAGTATAAGAGTAAGGAAGTCTTGCTTCAATTATATAGGGCTTTGGTGAGACCTCATCTGATTCATTGTGTACAGTTTTGGTTTCCTTACCTAAGGAAGGAAAAATTTACCCATGAGGCAGGGAATGCAATTGAGAATATGGCATTGATTCCTGGAAAGAGGAGAGGTTGTGTAGAAACATGGAATCAGGCCATTAGGTCTATCACATCAGTGCTGGCCCCCTGCAAGAGTAACCTAGCTAGTCCCTTTCTTCATAGTCCAGTAAATTTTTTCTCTTTGATCCATTGGCCTACGTTCTCTGGTGTTTAGGATGAGAGATGATCTCAGTGACAGAGGGATTCATAGGGAACATGACAATGACTATATGCTGTTTCACTCTGAGTGCCATAGCAGACACTTGTACAAAAACCATGGAGTAGAGTTGCTACTTTGAGAGAAATTATGTGTCCAGGTGTAACTGTGCTGAAAATTGATAAGAGTTTAAGAATTGATTGTACAAATACAAATACTTGCTGTATTGAAGCGGGGTAACCTGGTGCAGTAATAATTAAGATAAAAATAAATTTATTGCAAAAATCAGTGTCTAATCCACCATTTGTGTGCAACCTGATTTTAAATAATTGAAAATGATGTCAAAAAACACCATTTACTAAGTTCAGTGTTGTACTATCGTCAGTCAATTAGACAAATGTTGATGTTTAAAACCTTTTGCTGCTTCCTCTTGTGGGAGAGTTTTAGGCTAAAAGACATAATCTCTGAATGAGGGGACACTCATTTAAAATAGAGATGAGGAGGATTTGTTTTTTTTTCTCAGACAGTAGTGATTCTGTGGAATTCTTTATTGTAGTGTGCAACTCAAGTTGTGTTGTTAAATAAATTCAAGGCTGAGATTGACAGATTTTTAATCAGCTAAGGGCTTCGAGAGTTGTGGGAATAAGGCAGAAAAGTGGAGTTGAGGATTATCAGATTAGCCATGATCTCATTGAATAGTGGCAGAGATTCAATGGGCCAAATGGTTTACTTCTTTTCCTACATCTTATGGTCTAACGGCATTTGTAGATTTTCTGGAATGACCTCAAGGATCACATATTAGCACTGACCCCTTTGGCACTCCATTAATTACAGGTTACCATCCTGAAAATGCCCCCCAATCCCAACTGTCTGTCTTCTATCAGTTAGCCAATCCTTTATCCACACTAGTGTACTCCCTCCAACACCATAGGCTCTTTTGAATAACTTTTTAAATACCTAAAAATCCAAATACATTACGTCTACTGCTTCCATTTTCTCTATCATGCTTGTTATCTTCTCAAAGAATTTGAATAAATGTGTCAAGGATGATTTCCCCTCCATGAAGCCATGCTGACTCTATTTGATCATCTTACATATTTCTAAATGCTCTACTATTACATCCTTAGAATAGACGTCAACATTTTCCCAAGAACAGATGTTAAACTAAGCAGCCTATAGTTACCCATTTTATATCTCCTTCCTTTTTTGAATAAAGACAGTTTTCCAATCCTCCAGCTCTTTTCTATAATCTAACGATTCTTGAAAGATGACTTAATTTAATAATTTGGGATGCATCCCATCAGATCCAAAAGACTTATTGGTCTTTTCTTGGTTGTCTTTTGTTGGTTTTTAAGATTTTCCTAATCGTCTATCTTACCACTAATCCTTGCCAGTGGGTATGTATTTTCCTTCAATTTGGTGATATCTTTAACTTCACTGGTTAACCTTTGTTAGCTTAGCCCCTTCCTAGAATCCTGCTTTCTCACTGGGATATAGCTTTTTTGTGAACCATGAATCATTTTCTTAACTTTCTGCCATTGTTCCTCAACCATCTTTGCTGCTAAACTCTTTTCCCAGTCCGCTCCAGCCAACTTTACCCTTATCGTTTGGAATCACCCTTATTTAAGTTTAGCATACTTATTTCCAACCCAAGTGTCTCCCTCTCAAACCTCTCTCCCTCTATCTTGTTGGAGATAATCATTGCCTGGATCTTGCGTGATGCGAAATTTATTTGGCACTTCTCAGCCCAAACCTGAATATTATCCAGGTCATGCTGCATTGGACATGACTGCTTCAGTATCTGAGGAGTCACGAATGGTGCTGGACATTGTGCAATCATCGGTGAACATCCCCACTTCTGACCTTATGATGGACGGACGGTCATTGATGAAGCAACTAGGTTAGACCTAGGACACTACCCTGAGGAACTCCTGCAGAGCTGCCATGGAGCTGAGATGACTGACCTCCAACAACCACAACCATCTCCTTTTGTGTCAGGTCTGGCTTCAACCAGCAGAAAGCTTTCCCATTGATTCCCGTTGGCTCCAGTTTTATTAGGGCCCCTTGTTACTACTTTCATTCAGATGTTACCTTGATATCAAGAGCAGTCACTCCTTACCTCACCTCTGGAATTCAGAACTTTTGTTTGAACCAAGGCTGCAATGAGTGGCCCTGGCAGAACCCAAACCGGGCATCACTGAGCAGGATATTGCTGAGCAGGTGCTGCTTGATAGCACTGTTACTGACACCTTCCATCACTTTACTGATAATCGAGAGTAGACAGACGGGGCAGTAATTGGCTTGTTGTGTACAGCACATACCTGGACAATTTTCCACAGTGTTGCAAATAAAAACTAAACCTCAGCCCAAGTACACAGTGGTTAAATTCAGGCAGTGGCTCAGCAAGAGGGAATTTAACACTGTCTGACTGCTACCACAGGGCAATGGTGCAGGGAAATACCATGACCTAGTGCCTGATGCAATCCAGAGATTCATCAGCTCATACAACAGGATTGGAACCTGGTCACCATATGGAGCTTTGTAAATGACCAGCCAGGTCCAAAGGCATAGGGCTAGAGGTTAAAGTAACCTTAAGGTAGCAACCAATCCAGGGGCTTTGTGTCCTGGTTAAGTAGGGATTGGACAGAAACCTGAGGCTTTGCCCCTGGTTTTGCAAAAAAAAAGTTCTTTTTTTCCCTAATATATCATGGTGATTTTGTGCATTTGGTGTGGGAGCAGAGGTTAAATTGAGGAGAGATTTAAATCGTACAAACCAATTAAGGTGTGATGCCGTTTTGACTAGTTTGGAGTTTTATATCAGGGCATTAGGAGGTTTATTTTAATTAACAAGGTCATGGGTTGAGACAAGTGCTGTCTGTGATTCTGAAGAAGGGTCACTAGATCTGAAACGTTAACTCTGTTTTCTCTCCAAAGATACTGTCAGACCTGCTGAGTTTTTCTAGCAATTTCAGTTTTTGTTTCTGATTTCTAGCATCCACAGTTCTTTGTTTTTTTTTAACTGTCTGTGATTTGCTTCTTTATAAAATCCTAACATCCAAAAACCATTGAAAAAGGGGTCTGGGACCTACTCTCCTGCAGCTGGTCTGGAATAGCTCAGCTCAGGGAGCAGCAAGTTCTGGAGCACATGCCTTCAGTCTTATTGCTGGAATGTTGTCAGAGGGCCCATGGGCTTTGCAGAATCCAGTGCCTCCACACATTTCTGGATACCACATGAAATGAATGCAATTGGGTGAAGACTGGTGCTATGATGCCAGGGTCCTTTGAAAGGGCCCAAACTGAATCATCCACTCAGCACTTCTGGCTGAAGGCTGTTGAGAGTGTGCTTGTGTTTTGTTTTTTGCACTGATGTGCTGGGCTCTTCCATCATTGAGGATGGAGATATTTGTGGAGCCTCCTCCTCCAGTGAGTTTTTTTAAAATTATCCACCACCCATGACTGGATCTGGCAGGGCTGCAGAGTTTAGGTCTGATCTGTTGGTCGCCTTAGCTCTGTCCATCAGCACTTGGTGCTTATGTTGATTGGAATGTAAGTAGCTCTGATTGGTAGCTTCACCAGGTTGACTCCTGACTTCTGGTGTACCTAGTGCTATTCCTGGCATGCCCTCCTGGACTCTCCACTGAACCAGGGTCGATCCCCTGGTTTGGTTGTACTTGTTGAATGGGGGTTATGCCGGGCCATGAGGTTACAGATTACTGTGAATTCAATTCTGTTGCAGATGGTGTACGGAGTCTTATGGATGCCCACCTCTTTGCTAAATTTGTTTGAAATTTATTCCATTGCCAACGCCACACTACATGATGGAGGGAATCATCAATATGAAGGTGAGACTTTGTCATCACAAGGTCTGTGCAGTGGTCACTCCTGAGGACAGGGACAGAAATCATAGGCTGTGGTGCTGGTCCTGGCCCTGACCTGATCCCTGACCGTCTCCTACTGATACTGTCGTGGACAGATGCTACAGATAAATTGGTGAGGACAATTTGTTCTTCACTCATGTTAGCTCATTCACCACAAACCCAGTTCAACAACTTGCTCCTTTAGAGATTGATAGCTTCATTAGTTGAGGTGCTGCTGAGCCAATCAATAGTGGACATTGAAATCCCCCACCCAGAGAGCACTCTGTGCCCTTGTCATCCTCAGTGCTTCCTCTAAGTGGTAAAGGAGAACTGACACATCAGCCGAGGAGGGCTGGTAAGGGACAACCAGCAGGAGATTTCTGTGCCTATGTTTGACCAGATGCCATAAGACTTCATGGGATCCACAATCAATGTTCAGGACACTAGGGCAATCCTTTCAACTATATCCCACTGTGCCGGCCCCTCTGCTGGGTCTGTCCTGCTGGTGGGTCAGGACATATCCAGGATGGCAATTGTGGTGTCTGGAACATTATCTGTAAGTTATGAGTATGACTGTGTCAGACTGTTGCTTGACTAGCCTGTGAGACAGCTCTCCCTGTTGGAGAACTTGCCTGCCTAATGTTAGTAAGAAGGACTTTCAGAGTTGACAGCACTGTGCATAATGTTGTGATTTCCAATGCCCCCACTGATGTCAGTTGTCCATCTGGTTGCATTCTTTTTATTAGACTTTGTAGCAGTTTGACACAGCTAAGTAACATGCTGGGCCATTTCGGAGGGTAGTTAAGAGTCAACCACATTGCTGTGGACCTGGAGTCACATGTAGGATGTGACCAGTTAAAGATGGTAGATTTCCTTCCCTAAATGTCACCAATGAACGAGATGAGATTTTGCGACAATCAATAATGTTTTCATGGTCACTGTTAGACTAGCCTTTTAATTCCAAATGCATTGACTGAAAGGATGTTAACAACAATGCTCCCCTAGGGATCACTATTCAAATCATTCCTTGTCCCAAAATATAGATAATAGAAATATAACAAAAGGTCTAAAAACCTCAGCAGGTTAGGCAGCCCCTGTGGAGGAATAGAAACAGAGATAAGTTTCAGGTTGGTGACATTTTGAAATATCAGAAGATATTAGAAACAAGACACCATAATCCAGATGTCACACATTACTACAGATACAAGAATGAGAAAGAAAGCCAGTCATTGCATCGGAGAGAGAAATGGACAGCAAGTTACAATTACACTCTTACTGACCACAGTAGTTTATAAACAACTTTGATATGCATTTATATAGCAGTTTTATTGAAGAGAAACTTCATGGATGCAGGAGTGACCAAACAGATAAGATCTTATGGAAGATTTTAAGGCAGGAGAGAGATATAGAGAAGTGGAGAAGTTTAGCGACAGTTGTGTTTGAACCTATTAGACAGAGGACATATCTGCCATTGAGAGAATGAACAATGTGGTAGGAATTACCAAGAATTTGCAGTTTTCTTACAGGATGTAATTAAACAAGGATCTTAAAGGACAGTCCACATCAGCAAGGGACTATTACATGCTAGGACCTACAATATGAATGCCGCAGGAGATCAGGTAGAAAATAAATATATTTTTAAGAGTCTGAAATTGCTCAGATTATCAAATCCCTTTCAGTTTTAGCTCACTATATGTTTCACAAAATGAGGTCTCCCTGTGAGAGACTGTACCTCTCTGCAATATGTGATCTTTAACCATGGTTTGTGTAGAATGCCAAATAATTTTTCCTGCTTTAAAATCAATAAAGAGGTCCTTCATTCCCACTGATGTGGGACTTTTCAAATTATCCATTTTTTATGCTTGGTACTTCCCTTATATTGTCTAAATGGAAATATTAGCCTGTTGTCTCACAACATAGTGACCGCTACTTTGTTAATTTTTCTTCACAGTGAAATGAAGGTTTCTCTCATTCCTTTAAAGGCCTTCCACTACCAGAATGGTCTCAAAATTAACCAGGTTTGCAGCTTTGGTCAGGCTGTCTGTCTCCTGTTATGGAACATTCCAACATGGAGCTTGGATGTGGGAGAGTGAGAAGAAAGGAAAGATACTTTTACGTGGCACCTGTCACAACTTCCTAAAGTGCTTCATGACCAATAAATCAGTCTTCAAATGTAATTACTACTTTCAATGTAGCCCACACAGCAACCAATTTGTGCACAGCAAGACTCCACATTTGATAATGATGATGATGAAATGTGGTGGCAATGATAATGACTTTGATTTTTTTGTGATGTTGGAGGAGGGATTAGCATTGGCCAGGACACCAGGGAGCACTCCGCTTCTCTTTCATAGAACAATGAGGAGGGGATTTTTACACACACCAGGGAAGGTAGATGGGGTTCTCAGCTTAAATCCCTCAGCACTGACCCTCCGACAGTGCGGCACTCCCTCAGCACTGACCCTCTGACAGTGCGGCACGCCCTCAGCACTGACCCTCCGACAGTGCGGCGCTCCCTCAGCACTGACCCTCCGACAGTGCGGCGCTCCCTCAGCGCTGACCCTCCGACAGTGCGGCGCTACCTCAGCACTG